AGAATAACCTAAATGACTGTTTGGTTTTAAATTTTAGCATATCTGTAGGGGCGCCTGGGTGGCGCAGTCGGTTAAGCGTCCGACTTCAGCCAGGTCATGATCTCACGGTCCGTGAGTTCAAGCCCCGCGTCAGGCTCTGGGCTGATGGCTCAGAGCCTGGAGCCTGTTTCCGATTCTGTGTCTCCCTCTCTCTCTGCCTCTCCCCCGTCATGCTCTGTCTCTCTCTGTCCCAAAAATAAATAAAAACGTTGAAAAAAAATTAAAAAAAAAATTAAAAAAAATAAATAAATTTTAGCATATCTGCATAATATAATATTTATGTCTATTTAAACCTGATTGATAGCAAGAATAAAAGAACCTCTCCCCTTTACGCACCTAGCATTTGGATCTAGATATGCCTTAACAATATTACAGAGAAATGAATCACATGTTCAAATATTGAGTAGTATAACTTTTAGGATAAAATATAATGATGAGTTATTTAAATGCAAATAAATACACATCATTCATAAATAATTGATAGTATGAGTAAACACAGATTAATTCTGTTTTAAACCAGCTTACCGTGTTTTTGTTATATAGCAGACCAAGAGTTCTCAAATCTATTCAAGTAAATTATCAGAATCCCTAAAACCTCATTATAATTTTTCCTGTTTATCGTATCTAACAGCAAAGTTCAGGTAAGCCTATAAATTTTTCCATCATTATCAGTATCCTGAATTTCAGAATAGATATGTAGATACTGTCCTAACTGTGTTCATATCAGATTCCAAAATATAAACACAGGAAAAAAAGCCCTAATGAATGATCAATAATAACTTAGGGCTCCTCTGCACTGGTGGACAGACAGGAAAAGTTAAATCAGGATTAAGGGTATAGATGCCTAGAATGAGGAAATCAAAGAGAAACAGAAAGAAAGAGAAAACTGAGGAATGGGAGAAGGAACAAAGTAGGGAGGAAAAACACAAAGACCAGACTTAAAAATATTTAGGTTTTAGTTCTTAGTCTGGTATTAGTTACTGAGTGGCCCTGGGGAATAAAACTCTGTTCTCAGTAATTTAGCATCTTGATTTATAAATGAGGGATAAAGATATTTTTAGAGATTTCCAGATCTAAAGCAACCAGATCTACTGTAACCCTCCTTGAATAAAACTTCCCTATTTCACAGAAATGAGAAGACACAGAGCACTCCATAGGTATACCACTAGTGTCCACCTTTAACTATCAGCAGAGCTTGGTTCTCAATGCTATGGCCATTCATAGCAATAAATTTCTTACCCTTAATTACACACATGCTTTTAAAATACTCCTTTATCTGACAGCCCTGTGAAACAGACACATAAATAATTCTTATAAACAAGGAAGATGAAAATAAACAGAGACAGGGGAGGGAAGGAAGGAAGGAGGGAGAGAGGGAGGGACGGGATGACTCAGAAGGCAGAGCCAGAAACCACAGAATGAAACTAAGTACCACAGAGAACCAATCCCAGGGAGCAGAACTGGGCTCCAATCAAAGAACATTCATTACCCTCCCTTATTATAAGAGATCTTGACAACATCCAGCTGTATCTCAGAATCACAATGGACCAGTAACTGCTGTGTTCCCAGCCTTTAGGAACGGGAAAATCTTTTACAATTATCCTGTCCCTATCCCATGTGTTCTGTGTAAGGAACGATAATTTATCTTTTTAGTTCTTATTTCTCCAGATCAAGAGGAACTTGAGCTATGAAGCTTCATTTACGTCTGGAGCTGGTTTTAACAGTGCTCTTCTGGACTTCAACATGATGCCATAATGGAATAAACGTTTGGGAGAATGTGGGGTTGTGTACATGAAGGAAAGACACTAATCTTGAGAATCCAGAGAGTGGACTGTGATATACTGTCACATTGCCAGCTCCCTATAAACATATTTCCAGGTATTCACCCCCTTGTGTACTACCCCCTAATATACGCACTCTTTACCTGCCCATGTGAAAAATTCCCTCTTAAGGTAGCCACCATACTGTAAAATATCTTAAACTAGATTCTTAAATGATGGGACAACATATGGAAAGGAACTCTGGAAGATAGAGGTTGTCTTAGACGTTCCAGCTCTGGTCAACCTCAACAGCTGAATTTAGCTGCACTGCTGACCTCTGCTTAACCTACAGCAAAAGAATTATCCTGTTGAGGCCTGAGAAATCATAAATCAGTGTGGTTTTGAGCTAATACATTTTGGGTTGTTTTATCTCTCAGTAACAATAGATAACTAAAACATAAGCCTTATCAGTATTTATCTCTACCAACCTACCAAAAGTGATTAACAGATAAATACTCAAAAATGTTAATAGCTCAAATTAATTGTGTGTGTATATATGTATGTATGTACACACACACACACACACATATATATGTATACACACACATACATATACATTATATATGTGACCATATACTTCCTTGAGCTATGGTTTTCTTCATATAAGTTCCAATTAATTTACCATTTAGTTTACATGTAATTCAAAGATTAGGTTGTGAAATAAGTTGTTGACAGATGGCAATAGAATCTGATAAAAATTATTATCAAAGAAAATAAAAGGGCAATTCAATGCATCAAAACAGACACTTCTATAAATACTCTAAAATGGAGACTGGTGGTAGTACAAGACACCTCTCTCTAAAAATGAGGTCTCTGCATCCACTCTGACTTCCCCTGTGTTCTTAAATAGCAATTTATTGTATTTAATTGGAACAAGCATATGTGCATGTTTTTAATATTTCTCTATATACTTTATCATGAGTTGATTACAACCAGTACTTTATTTATGGATAAGGCAACTGTGATTTCAAAGTTAATAAGCCATGGATTTAGAATTCAAGCTTAATTCTTCCAATTCCTGCCATCCACTACAAGATGATGAACATTGTACTATACCCACTCTCTTGCATTTCTACAATCAAATAAATTAAAATAAAGATAACAAGCTATAAAAATAGATGAGTCTAGCAGTAGCTCTACATAAGCTGATAATGATTATCATTTGTCCAAAATCATCCTTATCTAACAACTGGAAGAGTTTAAGGTATATAAATAAGAATGAAATTCACAGAGCAAACATATTAACCAAAAAAAAAATCTAGTCATCAATAATTGACACTACCTTTTATTCTGTGATTAATGCCACAAAAATACAAATATTTAATAAAAGCTAATCACATAAATCCTGGGAATTATTCTTCACGTGTTTTAAAATCTTTATTATTTTTACCAATGAATGACTAGTTTCTACCTAATTTAAAATGTGGTAAAACTACATGATTAGTATCAGTATCTTTAGCACTTATTATCCTCTTAATCCCACTAATTATTCATCTATATTAATCTTTCTTTAGTTTATTTTCCAACATATAGAAATGTTTACAAAATTCCTTCAAAGAATCATTTCTGACTATTCCATTGTAAATCCTTGTTATGGGTAAATAAAAATTTGGAATTAAATCTATATTGATAAACTTCAATGAAACATCTTTTAATAATTAAATAGTGGAGGAAACCTGGTTCATGCTTTATAAAAAATATACCACAGATTCTATACAAATATTTTTAAACAACCAAACAAAATCATTAGAACTGACTAGAGTTAGTGAACTTTTGAACATTCAAGAACCCAAGTGTTTTATAAATAGATAAAACCTTTAAAAATACACACATGGAGCGCCTGGGTGGCTCAGTCAGTTATGCGTCTGACTTAGGCTCAGGTCATGATCTCTAGGTTTGTGAGTTTGAGCCCGGTGTCGGGCTCTGTGCTGACAGCTCATAGCCTGGAGCCTGCTTCAGATTCTGTGTCTCCTTCTCTCTCTGCCCCTCCCCTGCTAACAGTTTGTCTCTCTCTCTCAATAATAAAGGAGGTTAAAAAAATTTTTTAAAAAACACATATATTTCCCATGACCCTTACATGCATACAAGTATGTTTTTTCTTATTATCATCCTTTTTAAAGAACGTGAATATACCACAAAAAAAGAAATCACTAAATTTAATATGGTACTACAGAAAAGAAACTTATAAATCACCTACCATCAAGAGGGAAATATCTGCACTATGTTAATACTTGTCTACAATAATTTTATTTCTATATTTATATTTTGATTATAAGATCTTAATCCAAACACAATTGATATATATTATCTTCATGTAAAAATTGTTAATGTATAAATATATTAGATTAATAAGCCCTTACAAAATGATTCATATATAAAGAAAAAAATGTTCTACCTTGAAAATTACAGGTATTTTATTATCATAACAATGTGAAAGGTATGGCTTTAACTTAATTACCCTTGTGTTGTGTTAATATTTCCTGACAGATCTTACAGAAATATTATTATTACAACTAAAAGGTAATTTGTTATATGGTGGAAAACTGTATTTAATAGTTTCAAAAGATAAATTAAGCTCTAGTATAGTCACTACTCAATCACCAAACACAACACCTGTATAAACTATCCTATATGTTTTTGTAACATATATGTGAATTTATCACTTATTTAAATATAAGTTCATTTTCTCTATGTACTATACAATTACTATCAGTAAACATGAGAGAATTATTTTTAAACTATCTTTAAATGCCACATTCTCTATAGGTCATCATTGAGCAAATGTTGAAAGTTGAGCAAATGTTCATTTTGAATCCCTTTTGGTTTTTGTTGCTGCTATTAATGTTGCTTTCCTTTATAAAAATTTGGTGAATACAGCCATTCATATAGTTTAACTGGTTTACCGAATTCAGTATGGAGCAACACTTGTCATGGTATACAATTTATTTTATATTTTCATATATCCTCTCCAGGAGGAAAAGTAGTAAGAAACTATCTTATAGTTAATAATTTCTTGCATAATTAATTCTACCAGTAATAGCATTTAAAAATTTATCACTTGAAAATAAATGTATAATAAATTTACCCTTTTAAAAACATTATTTAAATGCATGATAAATTATTTGAATGCATCTTTCTTACCATGACAAGAACCTTCAATTTCTTCATATCCTGTACTGCAGATACACCTTCCAAGAGGAACCAGCCAATCTCCATCAGCTCCACAATATAGTTTAGGAGTGTCACGCTCTTCTGCACTCTTCACACAAGAGCCCCTTACTTCAACCAAAGAAGAAGAATCAACCCTTGGGATGGTGTCAGGAAACATAGCCAAGTTACGAACAGTGAAGGGGCATTTTTTGTAGAAAACACGGACAGAGACCAAGGCAATGCATGCCCCAATATCTTGAAAAGCCAAATAAAATCCTTTCCTTTCTATAGGACCCACCTCACGAATTTCCGTGTTTAGCTTCAGGATACGATCACCCAAATCCATCTGGGTAAAACTTTCATCAGCAGCAATTGTGTCAATCTTTGTATACTGGCTTGGCTTGAATTTAATTCCATGGGACTCATCTGATTCCACATAATACAGATTAAATGTTTCTTTGCAAGTCCCCAAAACCCATGGGATGCTGTTACAATCCCTTAATGTAAACTTCATTTCCACATAAATTTTCTGAGCTGCGTCGCGGGAGATCCAGTTTGTACGAAGCCAGTTGTTTTGGTTTGGTTCCATTACATTGCATACCTGGTACGTGTGAATGGGCCTATTGTGTTCATCCATTTCAGTGATGGCATCCCACTGCAAGAAGGAAAAAAAAAATTAAGTGATTATAAAACCACAGTGGTTAAGCAGATATGATTACTTCTGATATTTTCAGTTTTAGCAAAGAAACATGAATAAAAAGGATACAAATTAAGCTATTCAAACCAATAATGCAGCAGGATTTTAACCATGAACCTCTGGTTAAGAATGTAGGTTCTGAAGGGTGCCTGGCTGGCTCAGTCAGTTGAGCGTCCAACTTCAGCTCAGGTCATGATCCCATGGGTGGTGAATTCAAGCCCCACTGGTGGCTGGTGAATTCAGAGCCTGGAGCCTGCTTTGGATTCTGTGTCCCCCTCTCTCTCTGCCCCTCCCCCACTCATGCTCTGTTTCAGTCTCAAAAATAAATACACTTTGTTGATCCTTTTTTAAAAAATTAATAAAAATCTCTAAGTATCTTGAAGTAAGCTGGCATCGTCCGCATTTACACATATAATATTGATAATTGCACATTATAAATTTAGATTGTAATTGTATTTTATTTGTATAGAAACAGTGATAACTTTCAATAGATTAAAAACAAACCATTCTGTTAATTTTATAGCCTTTTTGGAAAAACATGCTAGTTATCATAATTTCTCATTTCTATTAATATATACTGGAAATAATAAACTATTTTCTATCGTGAATAAGTATTTTATTTCTTAATACCAGACTTCAGTGATTTATAATATGATTATTTGACACATTCTGTTTGCAGTTTCTTACTCTAATTGGCAGTAGAGAGTCACTTAATCAAGATTCGTTGAATTTCAATTAGTAGTTTCTAACAGATTGACTACTTTCTTCAGTCTACAGGATAGTTATGACACTTAAATGTCTTCAATATCTACTGTACATTTCCATGAAAAAAGAATTATATTCTCAAGCAAACTTAAAAATAATCTGTATCTGAAATTTCATTTACAAGTTGCTAGCTTTAAATTGAGAGGATACTATCCAGAAAAAACAATAAGTTCCTTTGGAACTGTGGATATAATTTTGCAAAACACCCCTGATAAACATAGGAGTGATCCAATAATCTCATAAAGATACATGCAATTACTCATCTAAATGTTTTTCATCCTAGCAATCATGGGTCTTATGTAATTCTTACATTTGAATTTAAGGCAAACCAGCATTATCATAGCTCATTTTTAAAAAAATATTTATTTTTTTTGTAGTCTGCAAGTGGGGGAGGGGTAGAAAGAGGGGGACAGAGGATCTGAAGTGGGCTCTGCAGTGACTGGCTGACAGCAGCAAGCCTGATGTGGTGCTTGAACTCATGAACCATGAGACCATGACCTGAGCCAAAGTCAGATACTCAACCGACTGAGACATCCAGGTGCCCCTGTTATAGCTTATTGAATAAGCAAAGTAACCATTTTGAATATAAGCAGTGAAGCAAGATGCAAATAATAAAATTTGTGAAATATCAAAAGCAGTATCTAAAACTCCAAGCATTTCACCCATTGGAGAGCCTCTGATTATAAGAATGATTATTCTTATTTTAGATAATTTCTAATAAGAACTGATTTTGTTTCTCAGGAAATGCATGTCTACACCGCATCCTGAACTTTTCCATATAGAATGACAGGGCTATATTCTCAATGAATTCTGTTTAAATAATTACGTCTTAAAACCTTCACACTGTATCTCTTCATATTAATAAAAAGTGTTAATCATGGTCATCGCAACTACTCCTAAAATATGAAATTTAACTAAAATGTCAAAAATTGCCTCTTGTGACAAAAATAAATTCTGAAATCATTTTATATCTTTATTTAAAATGTGTTGGGTGTGGGGGAAATACTTAGATGGAAAGAAAGGTCAAGAATGAGAAGAATGTAACATACATTCACTGAATTAAAACTGAGCTGAACCAAGGGATAAGGAAATGACAAAATATACATGGATAATGAGAAACGTGGTTCTTCTCAAAGACACTGCATAAAGATTCTTAAAATGGTACCTCATTTTCTTGGCTAAATTTGTGATATTTGATGGTCATTAGTGTTTTTTCTTTCTTTTATTAAAAAAAAGTCAGAATTAGATTTGAGTACTGAAATAGTTAGAACAGATCAATTGCTAAATTCTATCTTATCTAAAACATTCAAAGTAATTGAAATTAGATATTTAAATCTGAATCTAACTAAAACTAGAATATAAATTCAATATTGGTATACCTAAAAGATTATGAAGTTTACTAAAAATATAAACATTAGCAGATATAGAAATGGTATGACAATTTAATCATAATTTAGCCTTCAGAAATACTGCATTTACACATAATTATATATGCATTTATGTAGTTACATAATCTTTTTGTCATAATTTTCAAGTCTTAAGTAAGACCTCTAAAACTGTGGGGCCCATAGTAAGAATGGTAGTATGAGGGCTCATATAGCATGCGTCTAAATATGTTAAAATGATAAATCATTCTTTAAATCATATCAAATTCTAAGTATATTCTCTTTGCCTACATTGCAAAGATACCTTCATAAAAACATGGAAGGCCAAGTTCAAATTTAAAATACTTGGCTTTTGAAAAAACTAACTTTTGGGATTACATCAAAATAAAAAGCTTCTGGACAGCAAAGGAAACAACCAACAAAACTAAAAGACAACCTACTGAATAGGAGAAGATATTTACAAATGACATATCCAATAAAGGGTTAGTATCCAAAATACATTAAAAAAAAGTATACATCTCAACATCAGAAAGCAAACAAACAAATAATCCAGTTAAAAATGGGCAGAAGACATGAACAGACATTTCTCCAAAGAAGACATACACATGGCCAACAGACACATGCTCAAGATCACTCATCATGAGGGGAATGCAAATCAAAACTACAATAAGCTATCACCTCACATGTGTCAGAATGGCTAAAGTCAAAAACACAAGAAACAAGTGTTGGTGAGGAGGTGGAGAAAAGGGAAACCCTTGTGCACTACTGGTGGGAATGCAAACTGGTGCAGCCGCTGTGGAAAACAGTAAGAAAGTTCCTCAAAAAGTTAAAAATAGGGACGACTGGGTGGCTCAGTCTGTCAAGCATTCGACTCTTCGGCTCAGGTCATGATCTCACAGTTCATGAGTCGAGTCCCGTGCTGCCAGCATGGAGCCTCCTTGGGCTTCTCTCTCTCCCTCTCTTTCTCTCTCTCTCTCTTTCTCTCTCTTTCTTTCTGCCCCTCACCTGAGTGTACGCATGCATGCACAAGTGCTCTCCCTCTCTCTCTCAAAATAAATAAATAAATTTAAAAAATAATAATAATAAATAAAAATAAAACTACTCTGTGACCCAGTAATTGCTCTACTGGGTATTTACCCTAAGAATTTGAAAACACTAATTCGAAGGATTATATGCATCCCTATTCATTATTTTTTT